TACAAAGACGTCAATTGCACTCGCTTTTACAGATAAGGCAATTAAGTAAATGAAAATATTATTTTTGTTTTAGCATGTTGGTAGAATATCAGAGGTAATCTTTATTTTTTCTGTAGATGCAGGTCTTTATAAAGCGCAATTTTTAATAGGTTATTGATTTCTAATTCTAATTTTAAAAGTTTTTTACAATTTTGCTCACCTGTATCGTTTAGTCGCATCATTCACATGGTTTGATCAGTTGTTTTTAAGGACAGAGATGAAAAACTGGGAGGAGAAATTAAAGCTGCTGAAAGTGAACTCAACCGTCTCCGAAAAGAATGCCCAAAAATTGTACCTCCAGCAGGTGACCTTGTTTCACTTGAACTTTTGTTTTCTGTCTTCCTACAAAATTGCTTCATAATTTTGAAAGGTAAAGGTGATGTAATGTTTGCTTAGAGTAGTTCTTATTATGGGTTTTAGTGCCGCCGATGAGACCACTGAATAATGGTTGGAAGTGTTCACAATGCACAACATATAACGATGTGGCAGACTATCGTTGCAGAGCGTGTTTGCTTCCTTCTATAAGGGTAATTATATGAGTTTTTTATTTGCTTTACTCGTAGTTTGGTCACGAAAAAAAAATCAGAAGACTAAATATATTTCATACCTAGTTTCTTCACTTGATTTTTTGTCAACATGATGTTAGGGGCGTTGAAAAGCTTGAAGCACTTAGTGGCGTAGTGAGACCTGTATAAGTACTAACGAAGTTGTTCAAGTTTGAACCTGTGAGTTCTTTATATTCTCAATATTTGAAACTCTTTAATAACATCCATTCTGTCTTAAAGTTTTATTTGTGGCATTATTTTCTGTTGTGAATTATTATGTGAAGGCATTAAATAAAAGAAAAGTGAAAAAAAAATGGCAACAGAAAACCGTAAGGAAAACCATATCTAGCTTTCTATTGATGTTATGCCTTATGCCTTTTTTTGCAGATAATTTACCTTGAAAAGTTAGTTTTTCATGGTATTTGCTATGCTGCTTCTGTTTGAAAGGTTAATCTGTTGCGAATGGTCTTTATTCACCATTTCAAAGATCATAATGATCTAACTTTCAAGTGTATTTTTATTTTCACTACCTATTTGCAGTTTGACCCATCTGAAGCAGCCGATTGCAGATGCGAACACTGTCGAGCGAATTAGACGATCGACTCCACGTACTTACAAAAAAAGCTCAAACTTTATTTTATGGAATCTACTGGTTCTACTTAGTTTTGTAATTTTGCCTTACTATTGCTTGAAATGCTGATATCTCTTTGTAAAACTTATTGTATTAGGTATTTGGTACTTTAAACTTCTTATTTCAAGGTTTATTTCTCACCTTGAGGCATTTGTTCACATTTTTTTCAAAGAAGAAAGGACGGTTTTGTACATAACCAATGTTTTCTTGTGAAGGCATTATTAAATCAAGGTTTTTTTTATACTTGTTATTCAAATGTTTTTGCCAAAGGGAAGACAAGTTTTTTGATCTTTATGGTCAGTTTGGTTAGTACACTTTATTTGCAGGCTTTTAGCAGAACTTCGGAGTTGTTTTCCCGAGAAATTCTAGTCGTCATTCTTTTTATCCTGACGCACTATTAAATATAAAGTTGTCGGTCGTAAGTGTACGGTATACATCGAATGATGGTTTTGTGCCCTGTCTTTCAAATCATCCGGAAATTTTTTTGTTGAATATCAGTTTTTGTCTTATTGCGCAGTGTTCCTTCTAAACAAAAAATGGCCTTTTTTTGTCTCCACTTTTTGTTTCAATCTGGTTTTTAGTAATGCGTGTGAATTTGAAGACTCGATTTAGTTTACTGTGATAAAGTTTTTTCTCCTCATCAATGAGGCCGCTAAGTAGTTTGTTTTTTTTTCTTTTTTAACCTAACAGTGATGTAATACGCTTAGTGTCTTAGACAGTTTTCTATTATAAACTTAAAAACTTGTGGCACGCATGTGAAATTTATTTATCAGTGTGTTCCTGACGTAATGCTGACGGGTTACAATTTTGTGTATATCTTTGTAATGTGGTGTCCCGGCTCTTGCAAATATTAGCAGTTGGCTGTTTACATTTTTTCTTTCAGAATGCCGATTTGTGACGGTGATTATTGATGATCTATTTATAGTTTTTTTTTTAACAAGATTTGGTGTGATCGTCTCATATAATAACTGCTGGTGATTGAAGGGGAGCTGAACGTTTTAGACTGTTTTCGTATGAAATACATATTCTGTTTGCTTTATCAGTGTTTGGGAAAATTAAGGAATTGATTTAATAGAAAAACTTAGTAGAGTGAAAGCGAGACAATTACAGGTTCAAGAGTGTTTTAGCGGGTGGGAAGGTTTGTCTTCTGGAGGTTCTGTTTGTACTTGGTGAATGGAGTAGCAGGTTTTTTTACCTTGTAATTCAGAACGTATTTCTGATTTGGCTGGATGACGTGGGTTGTTACGTTTTTAACAGTCATTAATTATTTGGGGTTTATTTTTTTATTTATTTTTATATCTTTCTGAGTATAGTAAAAGTTTAATTTTTTAATTTATCAAAATTTGTTTTTTTCGTAATTACTATCCACCGTGTAAGGATTCATGATGCTCTGCCGTAATTGGTAACGACGCACCTAGCAAGAGGCCGCTGAAAGCCTTAAACTGTTTCTTGGCAAAGACTGAGTTGCGGGTGTGGTGGGGTTAGGTTAGTAATTAAATTTCCTGCAGATAAATTTAGAAGACTGTATACTTTTTTCTTGCTTCAAGGTTCACGTGAAGTTGTTATTAGGGTTTTAATAGCTCAGTTTACATTTGCTTGAGTGAAAAGGGACAGGTCACTTTATCTTCATTCCTTTTCGGTGGGTGGGGTTTTTCTGTACAGCGTAGTCACACTGTTCGCGATATCGCGTTATTTTTTGTTCAAGTATTTCAGTATTAATCCCGTTCTGGACAGTAGATGATATACGACGACTAATATCTTCTTCATTTTGCAATGATATCTGAAGGACAACTTGAATGTTTCTATGGTGCCGTTAGAGATTGTACATATTTGTCGCACAAGAAAGCTCTAATAGAAAGTGCTTGGCCTCCTGATTGTCAGGAATTTGATAATACTGAGGTACCGTGAAAGCTACATTAGTTTGTGAGTTGATCAGCCATCACATTTTTTTTTTTAGTTATTTAGAATGTTCTAAAATTTTCAATTTTTTCCTTTGCCGACGCCGAGTATTTTGTAGAACTTCCACCATATTACAAAATTTCGACATTATTTTAGTTTGAACTTTTTTAGTTAATTTGGTTGTTCTTTGTGCAAATATCTTTCAACAGATTCTTTTAAACTGTAATTTTTGTTGCTGTTCTAATGGCTAATAAATACCATAAATTAACAGAATTTCTGTTTTGCGGACAAACCGTTGTATTTTAACAGCAGTTAACAGTTAGTAAGATTCTTGACAGCTTGTTAAAGGTTTCCAACATATGGTGCGCCATTTATCCTACAGTATTCCGAGATCAGTACTTGAGTTATTAGCGTGCGCTGTAACCTAGGATCAGTTTAACTTTGTTATTTTGGGGCAGCTAAGGGCTTGGGGACTTTCGTTTTGACGTTGAAAAGAGATGTTGAGTAGAAGGGTTGAGAAATAATGAAAATGGGTTTCGATGCTTATAATTGAACTTGAGGAATCATTTTTGATACCAAAGTGGAAGAGGAATATCACTTTGTTTTCTCTAGATTGGCCAGAAAAGCTACATCATCTTGAATAGACTTTGGAAATTCTGCTCTAAATTTCATTCTATTTGTGTCAGATACTTTCTACCTACCTTTTGTGGCCAAGGTGAATGTTAGCAGCACAGCTATTGGAATTCGCTAATGCTCATAAATTTTTTATGATTTTTGTAGTAATCGTTGTTGCTCATCGAATGGTTCACATCGTTTCTTCTCCAGCTTCTACAACTGAAAGTCCGGTCACATTTTCTTTAGTGGCAAATCTTTATTCTACAGCTCATTTGATGATTTCTTTTTGCCCAGTTCTCACTGACATAAACAATGGTTGCAATAATTTAAAAAAGCTTCAAAGAAGTTTCATTTGAATGTCAGATGTTCTTGTCAGAAATTTTTTTGTTGAGGTATCTAGTTAAGTTTTCATTTACGTTACGGCGTCCTAAAGATAATTCTGAAAAAGTTTTTTTTTCTTTTTTTGTTATTTGCTTATTTGGTGTACATTTTAGCGTTTTTTGCGCAGCAAATTATTAAATGATCATCGTTTTTAAGTTTCCAGTAGTTCAAATTTAAAACGATTTATAAAAGCTTACTTTTTTTAAAAAAACGGAAGTGAAAATGAGAAGTAAAAGAAAAATCTTATTTGTCTCCAGTTCCGCATGTAAGACTATTGGAAGTTTGTCCTCCCGTAAAGAGAAGTCGCTTCGGAAAGCAAAAATAAAAAAAAAGTGTAAAACCTATTGGTAGTTTTCGATGGTTAGTTATATTCATATCTAATTGAAAAGGGATTATTTTTTTTGTGCTTACCATTGTTAATGAATAGAGGGTTAGAAATTGCATGAGTGTAAGTCTGCATTTTTATTGATGTTCTTTTTGTGTCCGGGTAACTTCAAGGTGCGCCATAAGAAGTTAGTTTTTTTTTAAAGAATTTTTATTTTATAATTACTGTTGGTAAATTGTGGTACAGTCAGTGTAGTTTAGGATTTGAAAGAAGATCTAAAGAAAGCAATACGGCGGTCTGAGAATCAGTGGTATCAGTTACGCAAACAACACCCGGAACTAACTCAAGTATTATTTGCGAAACAGTTGAAGGCTAACAGCGACTTCGCTCTTTTGGAAGATAATAACAGAGGTTGAAAATCCATTCCAAATTCATAAATTATTGTATCCCATATACTGGCCAGCACTGATGTATCTATCTCCACTGTGGTAAAGATAAGCGTAGTTGAATAAACTTAGTGGATAATTATCTTATTAGTACAGTTGTAGTTATAAATTTACACCTCTTCCATGATGTTAATTTAGTGCAGCATAGGAAGAGGAGTAAAAGGAGAGTTTTAATATTAAAAAAAAAAAAAAAAAACCTGGAGTTTTTCAAATGTTCACCAAATTTGGCCTTCCTTATTTAAAAAACACTCCAAATTATCAGAGACTACTACCGAAATCATAGTAGAAATAATGAACTTTTTTAAATCTTTTCAACGGTTTTTTTGTGCAGTCTCTACTTTAAATTTACTTGGTCATCAGTAGAGGCTAATTTGAATTTGTTTTTATCTGTTAGTAGTGATTTGGTCCACAGTACCAATCTCCAAACAAGGCCTCCTATTTTTTTTTCTGTACCGGTTTGTTTCAGAAGATTGGAATGCAGAATTGTTTAGGTTTTCAATTAGTTTAAAATCAATCTAATCTTTAGCTTCTTCTTCATTGAAAGGACTGCTAAGGGACGAGTTTCTTCTGTCGTCCTACTGATGCTGACTTTATATATAAATAAGCAAATAAATGAAATATATATATATATATATATATATATATATA